CCTCAGAAGGAAGATGGGGGAATCTACTTCCATAGTGATACTGCCTCAGAAACCCAAGGAGGGGTCGCTATGAGTCAGGGGCGACTCGACAGCACACAACAACAACAACAACATGGCAAACTTACAGACAAGTGGAAATTATCTCTCAGAAATAATTATATGCTTATTTGAGTGAGGTGTGAATTTTCTTAGCTTAGTGAGAAATTCATTCACTGCTCTCATAGCTGAAGAGACCACGAGGGAATAAGAGACAATATTTTATTTCATTTTTAGAGACCACATCTATGCCTCTGAGCCAGTAATGCCTGGAATAGGACAATCTTCATCAACATATAGCCAAAACTCAAGGAACTGGAAGTTCCAAGACATATAGTTAAGGAGTGGCGAGCAGAACTTCTTCCTCCTGTTGGGAAGGTTAGAAATTTCCCCAAGGAGCAGAATGGAGGTTTCTTAGTGTAGGGCCTTGAAACAGGGAGAAAACATGTAATAGAGGAGAGAGAGATCAGTGTATTTCTGAGACAGTTAGGACCAAAGTTCACATTAAGAAGAGCTGACTCTCCAGGCATGTGGGTAGAATATTCTTATTTTGGAGTTTAAATATGGATATCTGGGACTCCCCAGGATTAGGGATTCCTCAGATTTCATATAGGTTCTGAGAGAAATACAAGGGAGAAATTGAAAATAAGGATGTTCACCAGCAGAGTTCTTCCAGAATAGCAGATTTTAAAGGATGTCACAAAGTCCAGAGTGGTGCAAATGGTTCATGCTGCTGACTGCTAACTGAAAGGTTGGAGGTTCAAGTCTACCAGAAGTGCCTCAGAAGAAGGGCCTGGTTTACTCCTGAAAAGATCAGTCACTGAAAACACTATGACCCACAGTTCTACTCTGACACACTGGGCTTACCATGAGTCTGAAATGACTTGACAGCAACTGGTTTCTTACAGGAAGCCAAAGAACAAGCTTAAACACCCCACTGAGGCAGGGAAAAACTAAGAGAGGCACATCCTGTAGTCTGCAAGGCTAGATCCATGTTCTGCCTTCGACATTAATATCAATTAACCCATGAATACCTACGAATGGCGTCAGTTTTCTATGCTGTACAATGGTTTGGAGAGCCATCAACTCAAAGGGCAAATATCACAGGCAGGCAGATTAAGTTTGCCAAGAACTCAGTGCTGGGGATCGACTATATAGTAAAGCAGTAAAATACATGAGTTGTGGGTTTGTGGGGGAAAAAAAAAGAAAATCAAAGTCAGGCTCAGCTGCAGGTGCAGGGTTATCTAGGGTGTAACTATAGATTGAACACATTGGGAGGGCTTTCTTCATAGGCAGCAAGGTTTCCATCTGTCCATACACACATATCATCACCACCACCTCTGCCACCAAAGACAACAGCATAGCTTAAGAGAGTGTGAGTTCTATGGACTTGTATCTAAAAAATTGACTTCCACTGGGCAGACATATTCGTGTTCTCACCTCTAGCCTTCATACACTCTTCAAATTCCCCTCAACCATTATTTCATTCTTTCTCTCTCTCACACACACACTTACATATGCACACACACACACACACACACACACACACTTCAGTCCATAGCCTAAGAGAGAAATAGCAAATTCCTAGTGGAGGGAGACATACTATCAAGTAAAAGAAGTACAGATCAAGGACTCAACATGAGGTCGTCACTTAGTCATGATCCAACATGAGAGAACTGGGAAGTGATTAAACATTCTCTGGGCTTGTAGATGTTGGGAAGAGTTAAAAATAGACTCAGCTCAATCTGGGAACAAATTTTATATCTCTGTAATAAATCACTGCTGACTGTGAAAAACATAGACCCCCATTCCCTCAAAGAAAATACAACAATTATTGCTACTAAGGATCACATATGGTCAAAATCAAATGATCATAATGGGGCTTTATCTGTATGATCATTCCTCGATCCCTGGAGCTAACCGAGTGTTGCTGCTGATTTTAGAAAGTGAGGCTAGCCTTACCTTGAACATCCACTGGGACACTGAAGAGGAGAAAAACAATTCCCCGGAGAAAGTGATGTCCACTCATGGTCATTCTGATCCTCCTGTCTTTAGGTCACAGCCTTAATATCCTCAAGTTATATAACGACTCCTCCCAGCTCTTATTGGGGGCTTGTAAAGCAGGAAGGGGATTATATAGCCCCATGCCCTGACATCATCATCTTGCACAGCCAATGGAAGCTCTATTAAACATTTTCCCTACCATCAAGGACGTACAACAGAAACTTTATGAAATTCAAACACCAATTAGATACTGAATCTAAAATATCTCCTTATATGAGATGCAAAGTTTTATGATGTCAGATGTCTTTCTGTCCCTGAGGCTGATACAAAAAAAATACATCAAAACAAATGTGGCTTTCTTTCCTTTACCCCAGGGGTCCGGCTCAAAGGCTAGTTCTGCTCAGCTGTGGGATCAGTTAAGTGTACTGTTTATGGGTCAGCCCTATCATCCCCTGGCCCCAAGAAATGACATTTTTTATTTAATTAGAGCTGCGTCTCCAGTGCCATTGAGCTACATGACCAAAGTGTCGTGGCTGCAGAGAAGTAAGAAGTGCCTAAGAATAAGACTGAAAGGTCAAGTGAGTGGGAAACTGGAATTAGAGAAATGAAAACTTCTCAGGTGAATGAAAAGAAGGAATATGATTATTGGGCTTCTAGGCTAGGTTTTCTTCTCTTTTCATTTCTGGCTAAATAAAAGTTCATGAAGCTCTTGGGCTCCCCACCTCTTGATTGGAATAGGTATAGCCTGTCTTTTCTTTTCCCCACATCACAGAAAACCTTTGCCCCTAGACTATGATGACCAGTATAGACACTTCATCTAGGTTTAAATTCCTCTCTCCTGGGATATGCAGGAGCTGCAGATTATAAATTAGTCATGTGATTAATCCCCATTTTACAATGAGGCCGTCTGCTCCTAACAATTAGTCTTCAGAAAGACAGAATGGGTGCCTACCTTCTCCTGGGTCTTCCTTTTCAACAGTTCATTCCCTATGCTTCCTACTTTCCCCTTCATTTTCATATAAGCTAATTACCCCACTTTTGCATTCTACTTAACCTCTGAATTGGAGCTCTGGTGGTGTAGTGGGTAAGGTATTTGGCTCCTAATCAGAAGGCCAGCAGTTCAAACCCACCAGCTGTTCCACAAAAGGAAGATGAGGCAATCTACTTACATAAAGATTTATAGCCCTGGAAACCCAATGGAGGTCTCTAGGAGTTGGAATTGACTCAATGGCAGTGTTTCTTTTCTTTTCTTTTCTTTTAAACTTAACCTCTATATACAATGGCTTTCATTACAGAGTTTGGAAATGGAATCAGTTTTACACAAGTTGTTCATCTCACCCCTACTATCAATAAAACAAATACCTTTTTAAAAAAATCATTTTTAAATTTTATTTGCTATTTCCATAGGATCACCATGAGTCAGAATGAACTTGATGGCAGTGGGTTTGGTTTTGGGTTTTGCTGCATGTATTTTCAACACCAACAAAATAAATCAAATTTTTCAATGCTGGGTAAATAAATAAATAAATAAATAAAATAATTTCCATTTGTTGCAGAGAAACAAAGGTGCAGGTTACAGAAATCACAAGTATAGACTGTGAGAAATATGTAAAATATGTGTAGATTTTGTACCATGCATGATACATAGTAAGCTTTGAATTAATAATTGTTATTCAGCAAATATTTATAACACATCTATGACATGTTATTGTTTATTGATCATATATTAGATGCTGGGGAAAAGTGTTAAATATGTCAAACTGTCTCTGACCTCCAGTTTAGCAGTGAAGACTGGTAATATACAAATAAATAAATAGTTACTGTAGATATAAAAGGAGTTATTGAGAAAAGCAAAGTGAGCAATGCGATTGTAGAACGTGTGTTGTTGTTATGTGCCCTCGAGTCAGACCTGACTCATAGTGACCCCTCCTTGGGTTTCTGAAGCAGTATCACTACAGAAGTAGATTGCCCAACCTTCCTTCTGAGGAAGGGCTGGTGGGTTTGAACCACCAGCCTTCTGGGTAGCAGTCAAATGCCTTAGGCACGATTGTAGAATAGGAAGAATAAAATCCAGCCAGAAGCTGTGGGAGTGGGGACGTAAGGGGTGGGAGGCTATGAAGGACATTTCCCCACCAAAATCTATGTTTGAGCTGAGATCTGAAGGACTAAAGGAAATCTGAGGGACCAGAAAAGCATTCCAAGCAGCAATAGAGCACAGAGAAATCCCAGAAGAAAGTGTATTGCTTTTTACAGGATCTTAGAGAAAGCCAGGGAGGCTTTGAAGCATAAAGAGCAAGGAGGACAGAGGAAAGGGTTGCTGCAGAAAAGCAGGCTAATGTGGATCACAAAGAAGCTTGTAAACCATGTCAAAAACAAAACAAAACAAACCAACAGCTAGAATTTTATCTTAATTGCAATAGGAAGCCTCAAGTGGTGGTTTTATATTTTAGGAGATTATTATATTCATTATCTAGTGCTTGTTGTTGTTAGGTGCCCTCTTGTCGTTTCCAACTCATAGCGACCCCATGCACAGCAGAAGGAAACACTGCCCCACTCCGTGCCAGCTCATGATCCTTGCTATACTTGAGCCCATTGTCACAGCCACTGTGTCAATCCATCTCGTTGAAGGCCTTCCTCTCTTTTGTGGACCCTCCACCTTACCAAGCATGACATTCTTCTCCAGGGAATAGTCCCTTCTGACAACATGACCAAAGTAGGTGAGAGAATTCTGGCCATTTTCTCTTCCAAGGAGCATTTCAGGTGCACTTCCTCTAGGACAGATCTGTTAGTTCTTTTAGCAGTCTATGGTACTTTCAGCATTCTTCGCCAGCACCACTATCTAGTGCTAGTATAACAGAAATGCCACTAATGGGTGGCTTTAACAAACAGAAATTTGTTTTCACAGTTTGGGAGGTTAGAAGTCTGAATTAAGGGTGCCAGCTCTAAAGGGCATCTTTCTCTCTCTGCGTCAGCTCTAGAGAAAGTCCTTGTCCCTTCAAACTTCTGTTCCTAGGCTGTCTTCATGTGGCTTGGCATCTTTCTCCCCTCTTCTCTGCTCTGCTCTCATGTTTAATCTCTTTGATATCTCAGATGAGATTGATTCAAGATATACCCTACACTAATGCTGCCTCATTAACATAACAAAGGCAACCCATTCCTAAATGGGATTATAACCACAGATTTTTGGGGGGACACAGTTCAACCCGTAACAGTTATTCTATGTGATTCTTATATTCTCTATGACTGATATATGATGCAGGTAGACTCTGATAATATATTTGCAGTTATGTGATACTTAAGGGAAAAATTAATATAAAATAAATGTCATAGTTTTTGAGTATTCTATCCAATTAAATAGGAACTCTGGTAGCATAGTGCCTAAGGCATTTGACTGCTAACCAGAAGCCTGGCAGTTCAAACCCACCAGCCACTCCTCGGAAGGAAGGTTGGGCAATCTAATTCTGTAGTGATACTGCCTTGGAAAGTCAAGGAGGGGTTGCTATGAGTCGGGGCTAACTCAAGGGCACATAACAACAACAACAACATCCAATTAAATGAGGTTCTGACCACTTGGATGGAAGAACATCTAATGTCAGTCATTATGGGAAGGAGGTGGGATGAGGGTGTGGAGGATGCTGTTCCTTAGTTTATAGTCATACCTATCACCATCATTGCTCCTCTGGGTTTTTCAGACTGGTCCTTCTCCACCCTGCTAGCAATGCTGCCTTGTATTCACAATGGCTTTTAGAAGGGTCAGATTTTAAGGAGTTATTTGTTGGTATGTTAATATGACTTAATAAATACATCAATACATAAGTTAAAAATATATATATATCACCTTGTATTTTCTGCATAAACTCTAATATTACAAAATTGCCCCACAAATGAGTTAAGTTGCAGTGTCAATTATTCATCAAATCATTTTGATAATTTTCTGAGTTTTAGAAATGGCTGTGATTTTTCACTTAATGAAGCTGTCACTAGCCATGTAAAGCCTATCTGAGAGCTGAGATTTAATTTGTTTTAGGGAACAGTGTAAAACTCTTCTGGCTTCTACTTTATATTAGTCCTTTTGATAAGTTGAAAACTTCTTAACATTAGTGATATTTTTCTTGGTGCCCTTCCTTAGTTTCTGTTGATTTTAATGCCAATTACATTAAAAAGTTTTTAAAATACTGCCTAAAAATTTTATTTATTCGATATCTTCATTATCTATAAGGGCAAAGTGATCATTTTTGGAATGCCATATTTAATATGACAGAATCTAATGTTTTTGCTGGATGAGAGGCAGGGCATCCTGATGGTTAAAAGTGTGGGATCAGTTGTGGGCTGCCTGGGTTTGAATCCCAGTTCTGCCACATAAATTTTAAGTAATTTTTATCCCTTAGTTTTCTCATCTGTATAATTGGAGTGATCATACAAATTACAATATCAAAATGAGTTAAAATACTAAGAAGTGTGCCTGGGATAGAATTAAGCACAGTAGAAGTGTTAGATCTCATCTCTATTAACACAATTAATATTACCAATGTCTATGAAAGATGAGTGTTTTTTCAGAGGATTTTAGGGCAACTTTGAGGTGAAATTAAACAGGTTTCCTCTGAACTCCTTGCCCTACTCCAAATCACCGTTAGGGTCTGTCCATCCATTATGGCCTTCTTTTCAGGGGAGAGGGAAAGCCTAACATATTGTGAATCCACCCATTGCCATCTGGTTAGTTCCAATTCATAGGGACTCTATAGAACAGAGTAGAACTGCCTCATAGGGTTTCCAAGGTTGTCAATCTTTAGGGAAGCAGACTACCTCATCTTCCTCCCATGGAGCAACTGGTGGGTTTGAACTGCCAACCCTCTGATTAGCAGCCGAATGCCTTAACCACTGTGCTTGCGGAAGTCCTGTGACTCCCAGAGTTCCTACCCAATCCCTGTGGCCACCAGGACTGCCCAACTCCTGTTCTCCCATTTGATACAAGGCTTTCTCAAAGCCAAGTCTTCTAGGGGTTGGGATTCCAAAAATAAACATGAGAGGGCA